ATGGCAGAGAGAGAGAGAAGAGAGAACAGACAGACAGAAAGAGAGACAGACAGAGAGACAGAGAGAGAGACAGAGAGGGGACAGACGACAGAGGCAGACACAGGCAGCAGACAGAGAAGAAAGAAAAGAAAGAAAAAGACTTATATCTTGGCTAATATCTTAGCAAGTAAATCCATGCAAATTTATTCCTAAGAGAACAAAAGGCCGTTCCATCCCATATGGAGAGACATCAACGGCCAAGTAGATATGATCCGAATTCCACGACAAAGACGCTACAACCCCCCCCCCAAAAAAAAAATACCACGAAACTGAACACCCTGTATTATAACTGTGCCTGTTCTTGACAATAGAACAAATCAAAGCGGTTCGTGATATCTCCGTCCTTGATAGCGGGTCCGTGTTCTTTTTCTTATGCAACAGAGGACGCGTGTTAGAACCGGCCGTATAACGTAACAGGAGCGCGTTGGTAAAGTGTGTGAGTGATAGTGAGAGTGAATGACTGGACTGCGAAAGTGAAAGGGAGAGGGCGAGGAAGCGGGAAGAGGAAGGGGGGGGGGAGAAGAAGGAGAGAGGAGGAGAAATGGGGAGAATGAGAGGTGAGGGAGCAGAGAGAGGAGAAGAGAGAGAGAGAGAGGAGAGAGAGAGAGAGAGAGAGAGAGAGAGAGAGAGAGACAGAAGAGAGAGAGAGAGGAGAGACAGAGAGAGACAGAGAGAGAGACAGACAGACAGAGACAGAGAGGAATAACAGAGAAAAAGAAAAGAGACAGCAGAAAAAGAAGCAGAGATGAACCAACCAAGGAATAAAAAACATAAACAAACAAAAAAAACAATGAAAAATGACCTTCCTCTCCTTAACATGGTTTCAACAGACAAGTGAAGACCGATAGACAGTTGAAAGGAAGTCAATACACCATCAATCATCGAGTAACGGTGTCAAGTCGCCTGGCTGTCACTTGCCCAACAATTACATACTCGTCCCTCTCATAACAAAAACAAATCATCTTTTGTAATTGTCTTTATTATATATCATTATGATTTTTTCTTCTCATCTCTAACACTATAACTAGCACTATATTTTAATTTTATATTTGTCTTTATTATATATCATTAAGGTTTTTTCTTCTTATCTCTAACACTATAACTAGCACTATATTTTAATTTTATTATTGTCTTTATTATATATCATTATGATTTTTTTCTTCTCATCTCTAACACTATAACTAGCAATGTATTCTAAAGCACCTGTAGGCAACAGACAGAAGGTTTGAAATTGTAATTGTCTATATTATATACCATTATGATTTTTTTCTTCTCATCTCTAACACTATAACTAGCACTATATTTTAATTTTATAATTGTCTTTATTATATATCATTATGATTTTTTCTTCTCATCTCTAACACTATAACTAGCACTATATTCTAAAGCACCTGTAGGCAATAGACTGTAGGTTCTGAAACAAGTGGGTTAGTGGTTTAGTTGGAGGGAGTGAGCGGACCGGCCTGTGTTGGGCAATCGACTATGTGTTCAGTCGATTAGTTGGTGTACGTCGACCACGTGCTAGCGAATGGGTGTTGCGTTGTATTGTTTTGGGCTTTTTTTGTTTTGTTTTTGTTTTTTTTGAGGTTTGTCGGGTTGGGTTATATCGTTGGGAGAGAGATTATTTTTTTTATATTTTTTATATTCTTTCATGAATAAATTGAACAAAAAAAAAAAACCTTTGTGGGGTTTTACCATGTGTGGGATTGAGGTTCAGACTGTTCGGAGAAAACTAACGTATTATTTTAGCTCTTATTGTTTTTATTGATATTATAAATAAAAAATAATTTAGAGGGGTCTCATGCTGTGGTGAGTGGAACTGAAAATCTTAAACTGCCAGTAACTACCAAATTAAGAAGAAAATTATTGCCTTTCTTTTTTTCTTCTATTTGAATTAGCATTGTTAAATATATATAGATTCAGGGTGATACACCTGTGAACCATTCCCTATACAATAGAATTTTTAAAAATCGTCATTTCCTTGTATCTCATACGGACGGAAAAAAAGAAACTAATTACTAAACAGCAGGTTGAAAAACAGCGAATTATCGAAATAAATAAACGTATTTCATTCTTGTATCTGTATTTCCCCACATATGCAATCTTTATCCATATCCCTTGTGCTTCACATTCTTTAACTTATATAACGTTTTTCTCGATGTTTGTCAGCGAAGTGTATCTATTTCGGATGCTTTAGAGGGCTTCGTCTTTGCAAACAGTGGTACAGAGAAACAGCTGAACGAAACTTGGTCAGCAGTTGCAAAGCGGAGCCTCACGAGATCCGACGAGCAATTGCAATCCCCCAGAAGGACCTTTACTCTCTCTGTTTCCCCCTTTTACTTTTAGGGCGTTTCTCTTTCCTTATCTAACGGGGCATTTTCCTCTGTGTCGCGTCAGTAGGTGAATATCTAAGTAAATCGATAGGAATACCAAGTGTGTCAGGATACCACATGCTTGTTGGTATTCCCTTGTAGTTACACAGAACCTGAAGAGAAGAGGGACTTACCGAACTCCGTTCCCGCGACCAGGGAGGCGAGGCCCAACGCGACGACGGCGCTGACGAAGGAAGTCATCTTCCCCTCGGAATCGACGGCACTTTTCTCGACGGGGCGAAGCTGGACGAGACCTGGGACGGCCGAGAGCGCGCTGTGTTTTCCTCCGAAGACCACTTTCACTGGCTGGTCCGCGTCTGCCGGGCGTCCGAGCGGGGTGGGCGCGCGCGTGCGTCTAATTCGATGGGGGAGGTCGAGCGAGCGGGGGCTTGCGGTGGCGGAGGCGAGGGTGGGACGGAGGAACGCGGAACGGTCTGCCGGGAACGTGCGGTCACCACCAGCGCGTGCGAGACACTGAGCGGACTCCGGCGGGGCTGAGGCTTTTGTTGGTGGGGGTCTCGTTCAGGGGGGGTGCAGGGGGGGAGAGTAAGATTGGTGGAGATGAGGGATGGTGGGGAGGCGGGGGGTGGAGGGAGGGGGGTGTTTCAGCCACGGGAAGGGCGTTGAGGGGCAGGGAGAGGGGAAGAGGAAGGAAGAGCAAACACAGTCTTGGCGGAGTTGCTGTCGGAGCGAAGGTGAGGCGAGAGGCCGTTCCTCCGGGAGAAAAGAGGGAAGGACAAGACGCAAACGAAGAAGGAACAGGACGTCGCGGAGAGGCCTCGGGCGCTGAGAGGGAGACAAGGAAGAGATTCCGCCACGCAGCAGGTGCCAAGTGTAGGAAGCAGGCGGTGGGGTCATGTGCCAAAAGACCCTAATGCTAATGAAGGACGTCTATGGCACTGCAGCTAGACGAAGATCCCATAAAGCCTTTCGTTACATCACCCGACGTCTCCTTACAGCGATGTCGAAAATCATAACAGGAAAAAAAGTTACACAAACAATTCCAAAAGCTACAGAAAATAATAATTACAGAAAGGACCATCAACAAAAGGTAAATTGCACCTTATGCAATCACTAGGAATTAACTACATACCAAAATAAGTATAAATAAATAAGTATCTAACCCTTTTAACCCAAAATCAAAATACAAAATACCATAACCTAAAAAAACATCCCATCGATCTTCTACCCAACCAAATTAACAACCATTTTTTTATATCAATTCATCACAGATAAAAAAAAAAAATGTTGTTGCTAAGGGTTTTCAAGGTCGTGCTTTGCCACTCATAAACCTATTGTCAAGATCAAGAACAAGGGAAGAGTCTTGGAGGAAAGATAAGAGTCATGTGAGCAAAAACGAGAGAGAGAGAGAGAGAGAGAGAGAAAATAAAATTATATTCATATTTGCTGGATATGTTAGGCACATTAAGTACCATGAGGTTGGGTTACTGGAAGGATGTGGCGCGTACGAGAGAGAGAGAGAGAGAAAGAGAAAGAGAAAGAAAGAGAGAGGGAGACTTATAAATAAACAGACAGACTGATAAATATATAGACAGAGACAGAGGACTGAATAAGAAAGAAAGACACACATACACAGACAGATGGATAAATAGTCAGAGGAATAGACAAACAGATAGATGGATAAACAAACAGATAGACAGGTATATATAGAAAGAGAGAGTTAACAAGAAAGTGGGTAAGTTAAGGACAGGATAATGACACGGCACCAGGGATAGGGACACTGAAAGGGATAGGAATAAGGCTTGTAATAGGATAGTTAGGGATAGTGACACAGATAGTGATCAAGGTCAGCTTACGGATGGGAATAGGGATAGAGGGAGAGAGGATATTGCAGATGATGGAAATGAGTTAAAAAAAATAAAGAGATAAAGAGAAAATGGAGATTCTTGGAGACTTACGATCGATGCAGGTAAAAATGTAGTAATAAGTTCATATAAATACAATATCAAATGTTCTGTTCCTTTACATTTTCAACGTAACGTAAACAATTTTAAAGATTTTCTCTCCTTGTCCTAAATATAACAATCTAAAGCCACCTTATTTCGTTTATTTATCTATGTTCAAATTTATTCTTTTACATTCTTTATTGTTTTCTTTTAGCGGAAGGGAAATCTGCAGTAATTCAAGTGCATAAGGACTGTTTTATCACAAATATTCAACCTCGATAGATTACCTTATCAACGTGACCTTAAACCTCAGAATTAGCTAACACGTGTTTATAACGAAGCAAAATATAACGAAGAAGTGTTATAACGTTATGAAGAATGAAGGTCTTACTTGAGCAGGGGGCAAGGGGGGGGGTCAGGGGGGGAAGGTATGGCAAAGAGAGTGATAACAGAGTTTAAGAAATAGTGAAAAATAGAAAGGTGAAGTAAAGCAGAAAAGAGGAATAAAGAAAAGTAAAATAGAGTTAAGAGTGAAATGGAGATAAGAATGAAATAGAATTAGGAATGAAATAGAGTTAAAGAGTATTGGGGAGAGGGTGGAGAAGGGGAGGGAGGGAGGGAGGGAGGGGGGGGCTTATTTGGGGATATGGGCAATACGAAAAGGGAGAAGGAAGGGGGAGAAGAGACACTAAATGGGGGAAGAGGGGGGGACAAGAACAACATGAATAAGGGAAGAGGAAGGGGATGAAGAGACACTAAATGGGGTAAGAGGGGGAAGCAAAGAATAACACAAATAAGGAGAAAGAGGAAGAGGGGGGAGACACTAAACAGGGGAGAAGGAAACTAAGAAAAACATAAATAAGGAGAAAGAGGAAGGGGGAAGAGACACTAAACAGGAAGAAGGAAAACTAAGAACAACACAAATAAGGAGAAAGAGGAAGGGTGGAAGAGACACTAAATGAGGGAGAAGGAAACTAAGAACAACATAAATAAAGAGGGAAGAGGAAGTGGGAAGAGACACTAAATGGGGGAGGGAGGGAGCTAAGATCAGCATAAACAAGGGAGAAAAAGAAAAGAAAAGACACTAAATGAGGAGAAGGAACTAAGAACAACATAAATAAAGAGGGAAGAGGAAGAGAAAAATAAAACCAAAAAGAGAAAAGAGTGGGAAGGGGAAGTGATAAGAATCCCCCTTGAGGATAAAGAACATAATTTACATAAGGCTCCAGGACTCGACTTAGGAAAAAGGACTTAAGCAACGGAAAATGGACTCTCGGGCGGCCACTGGTTAAGGATTCTAGGATTTAGGGTTAAAGGATAAGGGAAGAGAGGGTCTAGTGTCCTAGGATTTAGAGAGAGAGAAAGGAAGGATTGTCCTTATTGCAAAACACGGACTGGAAGGATGGTACGTTACTTAACAGATGTCCCGTGACCTTGGTAGGGATCCGGGTGAAGGTGGTAAAGCACTTTGTTGTCCCTGTCCGTTCTCTCCTCTCTCTCGTTCCCTTTCTTCTTGTTTTTCTTTTATTTCTGCTTTATTACCTTTTTTGATTTTTTTGTCTGTTCTGCGTTTTGTTTTTCCTTCACATTTTTTGTTTTTCATTTTCTTCTCCGTTTTCTGTTTTTCCTTGACTTCTCCGTTTTCTGTCCTCTTTTCTTTCCTTTTCTGGTTTTCCCATTTTCTTCTGCGTTTTCTGTTTTCCATTTTCTTCTTCGTTTTCTGTTTTCCGTTTTCTTCTTCGTTTTCTGTTTGTCCTTTTCTTTCTGTGTTTCTGTTTTTCGCTTTACTTCTCCGTTTTCTGTTTTAACCTTTCTTCTGTGTTTTCTGTTTTGCCTTTTCTTCTCCGTTTTCTGTATTCCCTTTCTTCTGAATTTTCTGGTGTTTTTGTTCTTGTTTTATTTCTTGAGAATCATCTGTTTCCATTTTTTATTTTCATTTTCCCTCTGTCGTGTTTCTTAATTTCAAGTTTCTTCTAATCTTCCATTTCTTTTCACCTTGATATTTCTCAAAATGAATTACCCATTGCATCGTCACCCATAAACCATAAGCCTTATACCTCTAATGAAAAAAATACCTTGATTTATGAAAGAACCTTGTTCGGTGAGCCTTAAAAAGCCAAAATCAAAAAATAAAAAAAAATAGGGACACAAAACGCCATGAAAGTCATCCAGCTTAATAGTAAAATTTTCAGAAAAAGAGATTTATGGTGACGTTGTTTTTTTTTTTTTCTTTTACTTTTTATATCTTAAAATGGGATTGAGTGTGGCATATGAGGATGAACGAGAGAGGAAGAGTGAGGGAAGAGTGACAGTTAGAGGATTAGAGTAGAGATAAAAGAGGAGAGAGGAGAGAAAGTGGATGATATAGAGAGAGATGAGAGGAAGGAGAGGATGTGTGAGAGAGAGAGAGGAGAGAAGAGAGAGAGAAGAGAAGTGAGGGACGGGAGAGACGAGAAGAGAGAGAGATGAGAGGGAGGAGAGGGAGTGGGGGATGAGACGGTGAGGGAGAGGCAGGCGAGAGATGAGGGAGGGAGGGGGCGAGAGAGAAGGGAGCGGAGAGAAAGAGAGAGAGAGAGTGAGAGAAGAGGAGAATGGAGAGAGGAGAGAGAGAGAAGAGAGAGAGAGAGAGAGAGAGAGAGAGAGAGAGAGAGAGATGACGAGAGAGAGAGAGAGAGAGAAGAGAGGGAGGGGAGAGATAGAGAGAGAGAGAAAGAGAGATAGACAGACAAACAGAATACAGAGACAGAGAGAGACAGCCAGACAGACAGACAGAGAAAAGAGAGAGAGACAGAGACACAGTCAGATAGACAGACAGAGGGAGAGACAGAGAGAGAGGCAGACAGGACAGAGACGACAGACAGGACAAGACCAGAAAGAGACCAAACAGACAGACAGAGACAGAACAGAGAGAGAGAGAGAAAGAGAAAGAAAAGAGAAATAGAGAGAGAGAGAAGAATGAGAAATAGAGAAGAGAGAAGAAAGAGAGAATAGAGAAGAAAGGGAAGGAGAAGAGAGAAGAGAGAAAGAGAAGAGAATGAGAATAGAGAGAGAGAGACATAGAGAACAGACAGAGACAGCCAGACAGACAGACAGAGAAGGCGGGACTAAAACGGCAGCTGTACTTTGGGTTTGTCCAAGCACTTGACATGTTGAAATTCAAGTGTTATGAGTGAAAAAAACAAGTCAAAAGCTGCCACAAAAACCAAAATCTATTAAAAACGTGTGCTATATATACGTAAAAATGATGTCAGAAATTTTATTTTGAACAACAAGAAAAATCCAGACATATTTATTATTTGTTGCTCTGAAGGACTTCAAAGTATATTTGTACATCGTCAAATGGACAAAGAAAAGGCTGATACATAAAAAAAAATCTTGCTGATTAAAGTCATTGTTGTTCATTTTTATCTCAAGGTGACACCTTTATCGCATCTTTTCGGTATCCTTCCCGGTTATATATATATAATATATATATATATATACATATATATATATATATATATATAATAATATATATTATATAACTATATATATATATATATATATTATATTTATATATTATATATATATATATAT